TTTTGTTATATCTGTGCATGCCAGTGAATATTTGAAGTCCACAGCCATAGGTGCTTCAAAAGGCTTCTGTGTTACTGGCTTTACTTTTCATCTCTCAGCCCTTTGTAAGCGTGCTCAAAGTGCTTATTTTCCAAAGCTTTGTTCTTCAGCCAGTCAAATGGTTGAAGTGGCTGCTTGCTTTTCAAAGGTTATATAGCATGTGTCTAGCCTGGAGCTTCTTTGCTGGTGGGTATATTAACCCTGACTGTGTTTAAACATTAAAAAAATTTTTTTGCTGTGTATCTGGTGTAAAAAGCTGTCATCTCAAAGTAAGAGACACAAGAATTCTCTTTGTATGCATACCTTTTCTTATTAGACTGTACCAGTAGGTTAAAGAGAGCTTCTCCTAGAGATTAGGGGCTTACTAGCAAAAGAGACTGAACTTTCACCTGTCCCTGTTTCTATTCAGCTGTATGGCACTGACAAATCCCTGTTCTCCTGTGAGCCTCAGTTTCCCTGCCTGCAGAGTAACACTGGTACTTTCTTTAGTGAATGGACTTAATACCTGAGAGTGGACAATTGTCTGTGGAGATGCTTATTATTTGTAAATCCTTTCATGAAAATCAGACAATTGGTGGAATTGTTATTCTCCTATTTATCAGCTTTGGGTTGTGATTACATGTGCAAAAGTACATTAGGAACAGTTTTATTAAATACGAAATTTGAGGTGAGCTTCAGAAATGTGAATGTAAAACTTTAACCTAGGTATTAAGTGGTTTCTGTAAAATGTTTATTTTGATTTCCTGTAAAACATCTCTCACACAATGGAAGAAATTAATGTGTTCTCTAGAAATTTATTCATAGAATCATAGAATTTAGGGATTGGAATGGACCTTACAGATCATCTAGTTCCAACCCCCCCTGCCATGGGCAGGGAGAGAACCTGTTTGAGATTCTGTTGAGGGAACCTCTAATGGTTCACTATAGGCAAATGGTTTATAGGTAAAAATTTGGGGACAATCTTCTGGAATATTAATTTTTAACATAAATGATAAAGCTACGAATCATTTGAGCAGATTATATTTCAGAGGGTCAGTAAAATACTTGCATTGACCTTTCTTGTAAGAGGAACAGAATTTTGACAAGTTTCAGGGTACCCTGGTTTTAGTCTCATCCCTGTCTGCCCACGTATGAAATAGAGTGGCTTTTCCTTAGTGTAGAAACTGGAATGACCTGAGCTAACAAGATAGGAAGCATTTCTGATGTGTTAGGTCATGCAAATCTGGCTAGACTCTATGAAGGCAGTGGGCCATATAATAAGCAACAAGGTACCTGGAGCAGTCTGGGATCCCTTTGAACCCATATGGTGTGTCCCAATCGTGATGCAGTAAGTACCATAGTGTCTCCCCAGCAGGTGTGGTGTAGCTAGTCTTCAGAAAAATACACATTCATCACCCCTATTGTCCTCTGTACAGCAGGAGGCTTGATGTGGATGGGGAGTCATAGTGCTGTCCTGAAAATGTAGGATCTTGCACTCAGTGCAGAATATTTCACCATTGCCGTGTTCAACTGTTTATAGTTTC